CATCTATTTGCATGCATTTTCAAAAAGAGGTTATGAGATGGTGAACTAGTTTCATTGCCAGGAGACTCAAGCCAAATATTGTATGATAGTCTACTGCTGTCCAACTCAGATCAACCAATTTAGCAATGATGAGAATTGGAACCTTCCCCTTCAACCTTTAATGACATTAAAATTGACTGAGAAATTCCATAGCATAGCAACTTTGCTATCAAAGCTACAAATATTCTGTCAATTGTAACGACATCACGTTCACAAATCTAGAACTCTGTGATTTAAATTTTACAAGGGAACCAAATTATGACTGATTTATATCTCGGATGCCTCCCCACCACCCATGACATGCGGTTGCACTGATTTGCAACATATACTGTAGTTCATCTTCAAAAGTGCATAGAATTCAGTATAATTCTGTCTTAATATTATTGCCAAGATATAAACTAATTAGTCCTGATTGTGTTTTGCTGTTTTTTTTACACTTTGTACCTTTTGGAATTTGCAATAGGCCATTCTGCAAATATTACAGATCTGAACAGTTTTTGAAATTTGCAACTGGTAGTGACAATCAGTGCATTGAATGCACTTTTCGTATATCTTAAATTATCGTATAAGAAAATATACTCACTTTTCTTTTCTGCCTCGGAGGAAATTATATCAATGAGGACAAATATTCAGTTCTTTTATCAGCTTTGTTTTTTAATTGAACTAAATTTCAGCTGAAACCATGTGCAAACATTACAAAAAATTTAACAAAAAATCAACATATTTTAAATCAGAACCTGAATCAGCCATTATGGATAGCAATATAGATGCCACACACTCAGATGTGCAGCTCCACTTCAAACTGATTACGTAACCTAAACAAATCTATTTAATAATAGTCCTGTTAAAATTACATTCAGGTTCAACCAGAACTGACTAGTCTGGTGTGTAACAAATTCTGGTTAATGACACTCAAAAAGTGAACTTTGGTTCGTATTGAATATACACCCATCCTTGAAATCTGGAAGTTCAATCCAATACTGTGTAGACACAATAGACCACATTTCATAAAGTAACGTGGATACAGAATGGTTTTCAACAAGATAATGCATACATTGACAGTCAAGCACATGCAGGGAAATAACATGTTGGGGATGAAAATTTTGTGTAAAACATATGGACCTGGCCAAACAAAATTAAAACAACTGTCAGTTTCTTACAGGCTTGCTCATAATCTTACCTCATCTGGCATAGAGTGGGTTAAACACACTTTGTTTTTGCAGCTCAAACCATGTTCCAATGCTTATATATCAAGGATGCACAAAGATTGCTGACAATTTTAAGAAGAATGGGATTAAAAATAAATACAGCAAACATTCAATTTAAATCCTGTTGAACATGGAAACTATAATTCCAACCTATTCCAAATTACGGCCAAGTTTTTAAGCTTTAAGTATTGTGTCTTAAAGTCATTAGAAAGTCTTTTAAAAAAAAGACAGTTTTTTGTTTGTCTGAGCAGGAATGATATGAAAGTACCAGTAGCATTAAAAACAAAATCTCCTGAACTTCTACATGGTTTGTGGTTTATGAACCCATTCATGCTGCTGATTGCTATCCTTGCTTCCTACTAGGTGTCTTGAACACTATTCAGCAGAATCAAGTATATTTTGTCACTTATTATGAATAACTAATGCAGACAAAAACACAAGGCATGTCTAATTAAAACTGCATCTAAATGACTGACATATCTCACAAGATACCGATTTGGATAATAAGATGCAATTGTAGCTGGGTGTAAATCTATAGAAAAAAAAGGACATTCCCATTCCAAGGTCTATGCACATATTTTAAATTATATCTGATTTTGAGGACATCAAAATCTGTTTTTTAATAAAAGATCCTGCTAAAGATGCATAGTCTCCCTTTTCCTTAAAACAGGTTTCAGGACTATTACTTAAAATATTCAGGTCCTGGTAAAAAAAAATCAAATTGAATTGCAAGGCATCATCGGATGAGTGTTCTGAAATATTCTGTACGAATATCGGATGTAAAATCAGAGGTCCAATTCAGATCAATTGATCACAAAAACTACCACATTGGGTGTGGAAGTCCCTTCTTTCTCACATAAGGACTGTGAGATAATGGAGTAGGAGACCAGAGAATAGTTTACTTTTCTAATACTAGAAAACGTGCAGCCAGGAAATATATTTTTGCTATTGTTGTTTAGGAAAGGAGATAATGCTTTTCTGATACTGGTATGAAATATAGGCTTCATTTTGGAGGGCACCAAAGGTTTATTCCTGAGTGGCAGTATAATATGAGATGATAGATTTCTAGCAACAACAATTAGTATCTATTTTTGATTCATAGCTTAACAGAGTTAAAGTAACGTTTTAACACAGTGCATCCTAAAAGGAAAATTGAAACCTGCTTATTGGTTTTACAGAACATTGTTTGTTCTTCAATCAAATCACCAACATTCATTTATTATTGCAACACAATAGATCTTTTTTACCTCCTCTTTCATGTAGTATTCTGTACTGATGACTTGACATCAGGCTGTTAGCTGAAAGGGGTTTCGATGTGAAGATCAAATGATAAAACTCCACTGATTAGATTATAGAAAAGCACTCTTTCGCCATCAAACCCATTTTCTAAAATGACTGTATCTATTCCACCATCTCCCTCGGAGGAAACAACTGCAGTCAGAACATTCTCTTTCTATCCCTAGTGCACACAGTTTGGTTGATTAGGATTCCTAAGTGAAATGATTGTGTGATGGTCTGCAGCTATGATATCCTGAAGCACTTGTCCTAACCTAGAAAATGCTGAAAGTAGGGACAAATTTAACAAGGGTCTACATTTCTGCGAGCTAAAAAGACTACGTATACAACTGGTTAGACTGCACAATAGTAACTTTGTCATCATAAACAAAATATTCATGTTTGAGGCAAAATTGGTGGATGTTTTACCAAATGATATTCATTCCAACACTTCAGATGACATACAAACTTATAGTCAGTAACACAAGTCTTTATGTTCGTACTCTTTTCTCACTTTGGAGTTTTAACTTTTTAGTGACTGACTGATTAGAAAGGAATGGAACAAATAGACAAATGAAATTAATGATATCTACCTAGAACATGGAAAAAAAAGATACAATATTTGTAAAATAATGTTGGTGATTAGACTGGGGAATTTGGAGCTTCTACCTTGTATTTAATACAATAGTTTCACAAAATACAAATGGCATAACGCAAATATTATTATGAACTATACACACATGCACACACAGACAGAAGAGACAAAAATAAATACACTCACACACACTTACTTATCCTCATGTTGCAACCAATGTAATCAATTTATTGTTGAATCTTATACCCACTTTTATTTAGTAGGCCACAAGGTTCATAAGTGAATGTAACACCTTACTGAATTTTAAATCAGGAATAATTCACTTGGCACTTTATCTAGAAAAATGGAAAATAAAATACAAAAGTCAAACAGCAGTGGTCAGGTAAATGGAGCTTCAGAGTGAATCTAGTTTAAAAATATATTGTTGTCGATCAACTCTGAGGTCAGATGAACACATATATATACATCACTATTCCTGAGCTTTTCAAGCACTTTGAGACACTACCCTGCGTGGGCGGAGTCTAAAAAATATTTTGCATGTAGGCAATTTGTAGCATTTACAAACATTGTCTTTGCATCTTTTTTGGAAAGCCGCTCATTAAAAGCACAATGCTTTGCTTTAAAATAATTTTTTTTCTAATGCACTTAGCATTTATTAGCTACATTTTATGTTCTAAAGACATATATATATTTCTAATAACATTTTTTATGAAAGAACGTAAATACTCAAAACTCATGTTACCTATTTGAAGGTAGACGGTAAACTGTACTTAATGATGGCCTGAAATCTACCCCAAACAAACCTAGACTTTTTTGCTCATTAGAAACTAAGGCATCTACATGAAAAAATCCTATTGGAACAAGTATAAGCAGATTACATATTCAGGTAATTTTTTCTTGAACAATTTCAATGACTGCTATTTTTCAATCCCTGGATGAAGTAATAAACGTTTGGGCAAACTGATCAAAACAACATCAAACGTCTTAAATTTCATTTTAAAAAACTGAAACAAGTGTTAACTCATTTCTTCACCAACATGAATCAATACTACAAACATAAACGTAAGACAAGGGATCTAATCAAATAGCAAAATATAAACAAATCACATCTAGCAAAATAATACTACAAAGTTCTTATGTATATTTCTAGTAGATTATTGCTCTACCTCTTCCCTTTTATTGTCATACCTTCTACTGAACTACTGAACTAAGGTGCAATAAATTGCAGAATGGTCCACCTTAGTATAGACTTATACTATATAGTATAGCCTTAGTATATAGTATATATAGTATATATATATAGTATATATATAGTATAGTATATAGTATAGCCTTAGTATAGACAATTTAATACAAGCTTTGGTTGCAGTGCTGTCACTAAGGCACTTTATAAAGTTTAGAAAGCTATTCCAGTTAAAAGACTGGAAATGATTTATCACAAGGTTTACTATAAAATAGCAATAATTTAAAAAATAAGATTTCATTATCATTAAGTTCAGATTTACATTCTGAAGCAACAAAGTGCTACTTTCCAACTCATCACATCTGGTACTTGCTTTAGTGCAGATGAAGGTGGTCCGAGTGCAACAACATTTATGACTCTTGTGATCGACAGCCTTTTTTAAAAAAAAACTTACATTCAACTGGTTTCACTTGTAGCTCATTCAGTTTTTCGTCAAACTAATATTTTCAAAAATGATACAGAATAAATTTTCCATTTAACTGCTGAACTCTCTGAACTTGTGATTAAATCTTCACCTAAAACTGAAGTGTAGACCTTTATCACAGATAGCCTGCAGTTCAACTGAAGAATTCACTGCTGATGACAAATGTCACACGAGATGCAAATAAATCAATTTTTAGAAAGAGTTTTTTTTAAGAATGAAAATGGAAGTCTTGGTCTCCAAGCTCTGTATTTTTCAAGAAAAAAACACTAAACTATAGGTTACGTGGAAAGAACAGTACTGTATTTGTATTGGACGTTCTCCCTGATTTTATTTGGCAATAGGAGTTATTGTTTTTGGCAGGTAACCAAGAATAAATTAGCAAGGGGGCACATTTCTCTTCCTCTCTCTCCTTCTTTCCCAATTCCAAATTTTGTATATATTTTTCCACAATTTATTCCTAAAAAAAGTTCCATTTGTATTTGACAGACTATTGCCTGTTTAAGGATTTAGAGTCCATTGCAAGCAAACAAAGAAAAAGATGAAATAAGTGCAACTTTGTTGTGGACTCACATTAAGACCTGGTAAATGCAACAAACTAGTAAACAGGCCCAGTAACTGAAAGATGCAACTTGTTTTGTGCAAATCTTTATCATCACAAATGGCTTTTCTTCAGGCTAGAAAATCTTTTCAGAAAAATATTACGCCTTAAGAGGCTTTTATACTGTTGTAAACCAGAGACGCACAACTCCAGTATACTTCTTCTTTTCACAGCGCTGTCTCAAAGAGAATATTGTCGGATGATACAATCGCTGAACCATTGACTTGTGTTTCACTATATTGTGTTCTTTCTGAAGTAGTCTTTCTCAAATATACCTGTCAAAAAAGGGAAACAGAGTTGTGAAATCTTTTATTGAAAATATTCCAGTAACTCTTGTAACTCCGTTAATCAAGGCAGTAAACTGTCAGTTCAAAACTTCAGGAATTTACAATTGTGTTTTTGCTATGCAAATCGCTGACAAATGAAGTACTGCAAATTGCACACAAACTCTCTGCTCGTAGAAAACTAATTATCACGAACTGATCACTAAAAATAACTACCCTTTTTGTTATAATGGAAAATGCCTTATAATTAACAAAAAGATTGGTATTTCAGTATTTGGTAAGTGAAAGTGTAGAATAAGAATGGAACATACATCAGTACCCCGTTATAAAGTGTTTCATTACAATGCGGGTTCACTTATTGTACAGTTGGGGTTAGACCCCAACATTTACTTAGTCACATGTGAAAATGAAATAAAACAATGAAAATAAAGTTACTTGCAATGTGTGGTGCAAACCAAATATTTGCTTAGCGCAGCGGGATAGAAAACGTATTACTGACAATGACGGTGATAATCTTCACACATTGTCAGGTCAGGCCACTGATGGGATAAACCTTGTAAATCATTTCCCTCCTGGGACCTCTTCTCCACATCCCTATTAATTGCAGAAAGTGGTAAACTCCGATTTTTCATCAGGTTCTCAACACGCTATGAAAATGCAAGGATTCTACTGTTTACACAACTACTGAAGAAAAAAGAATGCAGTCTGAAACTTCAAAATGTGCCAACCATTTTACAATGATACAGTAATTGTAATAATTATTGATTGTACACACTGATACATTTTAATGTTTTTATCAATATCAAGTACCATGAAAAAAGTATTGCTTTGTTAAGCAAAATCATTTCATGCAGTTGAAATTGAAAGATAAATGGAAAACTGGGTAACAAAAGGTAAGTAAATCTAGTTCTTGCACAAGGATTTCTCATTTTCTAACATGAAATGAACAAAATAGGTTCCGACAGTAATATCAGATTAGAAGCGCAACATTGTCAGAAGAATGACTGACAAGTATAGATACTTCAGTATTATTTGTATTAAATCTCTGCATTGAATTTGTTGCGTAAGTCAGTTATTTGAGTTAGTAAATCTGAGTTACTAAGAGAAGAGCTACAATGGAAAAAAGCAGGCTGACAATAAGTGAACCAAGCAACATCTTGAAAATGTAAAAAAAGTGATACTGAAGTAATAAGGCAGTCATATGCTGAGCCTTTGAATTGTTATATTCTATCAAATTCTACTTGTGCTGGGACAGATGTAGGTCTCCTGATAAACATTTGAACTGAATATAAAGGAAATGAAATGTTATCAGTATTTTACTGTCCTATAATGGTCACATTCCAGCCATTGCTCACAGTTACTTGGTATCTTTTCTCTGACAGGTATACATAACAAAAATGAACTGGTGTCAAGGCTACTTCAGCTTTATCTGAAATGTATTCAGCAGTAAGAATGCATTAATAAAAGATGTATTTACACAAATAAAATGAAATCCTTTTTGTCGAGTTCTAGAGAGTACCCAGTTTTATGAAAACATGATTATCAAGACTCCAGAATTAATCTGATCTTCGCTGTAAAGGTCAGTTTTAATATAGTGTCAGACGGCAGATAATTTAAGCCTTCCATAAGATCTCCTCAAGGGATTTTTTCAGCAACTTCACTTATTATTCTTTATAAATGCTCAAAATTATTTGTTATTGGAAAAATATTGTGATTAAATCGAATGCGGTTTGCAAAATTTTATGCAGCTCTTTAGTACAACCAGGATTGGAAATGTACGAGGTAGTCCTACAAATTTGAAAACTGCGAAAGAACATTATGTATTCAAAGGCAGAATGCAAAAAGAAAATAATATCAACCAACTAGACACTTTTGCCTATTACTCAAGTTGCTCCTGCTTGTCGCTGGGGATAAATACCGCACTCTGTTATGAAGTACTGTATTCTGTTTACACTACAAGGGTGAATAACCTACAATATTATTTAATTGTGAAAAATATTAATTCTATTTTGGTTTGGTCCAATGCAATTAGAATATTTTCACATCTTTACACAAAGTATTGTTTTTTTAAAAAAAACTCTGGATTTTGTTAACCAGCATAAAAGATATTGGAGCTAGAAATATGGGCACATTCAACTCCCAACAGCTATACATTTTCACAGCTTGTTACAGTACTCATTTATATTTCTAGACGTATTAGTGATGGCCTGTGTTGAGATACATGTGGGGTTTTAACCTCCTTCCTGACCTTCCAATCAAGCAATAGTTTTAGTACCGATGTGTCAGAGAGAGAAAAAAATACAGGGCAATTTATTAAAAAATACTGGAGCAAGTGAAATTTCTGCTGCCTCTTCATGGAGCTTGGACGGGGAGGGGAAAGATGACTGAAAGTGCAGTGAAATAGGTAAGATCCAGATTTTATTTTACTAGACATGAGATACAATGTTTAGTTTTGAAATAATATGTAGAGTCCTAAAGCTCAGTGGTCAGGGCACTCGCCTCTCAAATCAAGAGGACTTGGGTTTGATTGCCGGGCAGGGTGAAATGTTGAGCAAGTTACCTTACTCCATACGCCTCTGTTTACCTAGCAGTGAGTAGGCACACGGTTGATAGTCAATTGGCGGATTGGTTTTCTGGGATTAATAATCTCTTCAAAAAAATTTTTGTCACTCAATCCATGACTGTCTGTGGGACACTGCTGTGCGCAATTGGCTGCCGCATTTCACCTACAATATATACAGTCAAATTCACTTTACAGTATGTTCTGTGAAGCGCTTTGAGACGTCTCAACGATGTGATAAGGCGCTATATCAAATGTAAGGGTTATTATTATTACAGCAGATGTTACAATATGCTGCATCTCTGTATCATTCAAATCAATGCAACAACATAAATGATAACTGTGATCCTAATGAGCTGGTTTTGCAGGGTGAGCTTTTATTCTTATTTTCATATCTTCACTCGTTATTAGATATATTTCGGTAAACTGTGGCAGACAGATGAAAAAGCACTGTTAGCAAAAAGAAGATGAGTCCAATTTCAGGAAGCCACTTCGATTATAAAACACCCCCTCATACAACTAATTTTAAAGCTCAATGTGTTTTCATTAGATAATATCCTATGTGCAGTGTAAAAACAGACATTGAGGGACTAGTTCACTCTGATTGATAAAAATAGCAACCTTTACTCTATATATTTAACAAAAATCCCATCATAGAGATGTAGGGAAAAGATGACTACTGTGAGAAATAAGCATAAAATGGAGGCCATTGAATTTCTGGGTTTTCATGCATAAATGTACCTTTTTGGCGATCTCAAACAAAGATGCCATTTCAGCTTTGCCCAAGTGTTGCACCATCTTGGAGAACTGACCATTGTTGTTCTTTAGAAGAAGATAGGGTTCATCATATTCTGTGACTCTTCCTGCATCCAACACCTGCAGTCAACAACAACAACAAAATTACATTTGTATAATGCCTTTCACATCGGGAGGATGTCCCAAGGCGCTGGACAATCAGTGTATATTTAACATTTAAAGCAGTCGATATTTAAAGCAGAAATGGTCAAGTTACATTGTCCATCACTTTTTTTTGTTAAAACAGGACATGTTTTCAAGGTTTTTGTACAAAATGCTGTTGATAGAACATAAGATAATTCATAGTAAACAGAAATGAAGAGAAAGAGTCTCCCTTATGTTTGTTGCATGCTGTATTGTGTTTTGAAGTATGATCACACCTAAAATTTAGAACTTCCCATCACAGTACATTTTGGGTTGATTTACATTGAAATTGTTTCCAGTGTAAACAAATCAGGACACAAGGTGTAAAACCCAATGGTAGAATAGAGGCCCAATATTCCAGTTCTAATTGCTGAAACCACTCCTGCTGTAGGCAGCAATTTGATTCAAGTAGGAATGAACTTGAACATTTGAATCTGACAATGCTGTTTGCCCAGTTTGCCCTCTTTCTGATTTCAGAGCTGCTTCCTCATTGTGCCTGATGCCCGGTTAATGCCAGTTCACAAGCGATGTGAAGCGCACCTCTGGCACTGACAGCATCAGCATCGAAGGCTGCACTCTCCACCTCTCAAAGCTAATCAGGAACCTCGGCGTTCTGTTCGACCCTGAGCTGTCCTTTCTCCCTCAAATCCGCGCCACAACTGGCACCGCCTTCCATCACCTCCGGAACATCGCCAGACTACGGCACTACCTCACCCCTCACGCTGCTGAAACTCTGGTCCACGCCTTTATCACCTCAAGGCTGGACTATGGGAACTCTCTCCTCGCCGGCCTTCCCGGCACCTCCCTCCACAAGCTGCAGGTCATTCAGAACTCTGCAGCTCGTGTACTGTCCCGCACCAGGCTTCGGGACCACATCACTCCCACCCTCGCTCGCCTCCACTGGCTCCCCATCCCCCAGAGGATCGAATTCAAGATCCTTATCCTCACCTACAAGGCCATTCACAGCCTTGCACCCTCCTACCTCTCCAACCTACTATCCCCCTACCTACCTGCCCGTACCCTGTTCCTCTGGCTCCAGTCTGCTCCACATCCCCCGCCCAAACCGCCCTACCATCGGTGGCCGGGCCTTCAGCCTCTCAGTCCCCAGGCTCTGGAACTCCATCCCCCAGTGCCTTCGCTGCCTCCTCCCTTTCCTCCTTCAAGGCCGGTCTCAAGACCCTTCTCTTTGATCGTGCCTTCAGCTCCCCTCTCGACTCTCTACCCCCTCCTCGCTCCCTCCCTTCCCTCCCCTCACCCTGACCATTTCCCCCCAGCTCGGGTCTTGACCCAACTGTACAGCGCCTTGGGACGTCCTCCCGACGTGAAAGGCGCTCTATAAATGGAATCTTGTTGTTGTTGTTGTGAGATGTCTCGAAGATATGAAAAGGCACTATATCAAATGCAAGAATTATTATTATTGATCCCCAACCAAAAACTCTTTTCTGCATTTTCATCATTATCCTTGTATCTATCTCATGCCCAAAGCTGCCGATTCCCTTATTCACACCTTCGTCACCTCCAGATTCAACTTTTCAAATGCCCTTCTTACTGGCCTCAACAAGAGAAAGTTCATCCCAAACTCCACTGCCCACATGACGTTTCGCATGTTCGATTTCCTATATCCTCACCAGGTTCCACTGACTCACTATTTCCGAGTGGATCAACTTCCAAGTTCCTCATTCTCACCTACAAGTCTCTACATGTCTTCAAACCTCCCTACCTCTGTGATATGCTCTAGCCTCAATCTCCTGCTCATTCCATCTGCTGCATGTTCCCCGCCCCCTCTACAGCACCATTAGTTGCTGAGATTTCAACACCTACCCTCTGGAACTTCTTCTCAGCAACTCTGGGGACACTGCTTGTTTGTGGGACATTGTTGTCATGTACACCTTAAAGGTACAGTCACTACTTAACAGTGAAATCCTGTGAAATGGTTCGAGACGTACTCCCATGTGAAAATTGCTTTATCAAATGTAAGGATCGTTATTATTAAAAATCTAGCTCATCGACCAGGCCTCTGGTCACTTTCCTCCTCCCCGCCCTCCCTGATTGGAGTCAGTAATTAGGTAATCGGGATGCGTCCCTCCAGGGAGAGAGTATGCATACCATTCCAACATTCTATCTCTGGGATTTCCATGAGTAGATGAGATGCATGGAAATCTCGGCTTGGTTTGGATACTCTTAAGTGTGGTGATGGGTTTCTGCATGTGTCAGACAACTGGCTGATCCCCAAAAAAATACAATCTCTATGAGCTTTTAAGACGTTACTCAATGTGAAGGCTGTATATAAATACATGTTGTACTACAGCGGAAGAGGGTCCTGCCGATGTCATATATGGGTCAAATGCCCAAACTGGTTGTGAGGACGTGATCTGCTGCTGTAGCATCATAGCAACTATGCTTAAGGCTAACATCTTCATGTTGAATTGCCAGCAGAGAGCCCATTATCCAGTTTTCACTTTAGCAAAGAACACAAGTCGTGAATATTTTTTGCCTCCGAATTAGGTACGATTTATTGCAATACCAATACCTGGCGCAAGTGCACTATAGGCAGATTCATCTACAAGATAGTTAATTCACTTTACAGTATATTCTGTGAAGTGCTTTGAGATGTCTCAATGATCCGATGAGACACTATATCAAGTGCAAGAATTATTATTATTATTATACAGATCTGAACGGAGGGATTCTGTTTCACTAATGCAATTATATGGATCTCCTCGATACATAAGAGAAGCGGCCTTATTCTAATTCTAATTGTATTTTGATCTATCGGCATGAGCGGACTAAATGTGGTACTTCAGCAACATCAGATGTTCGTGGGAGAGGTCCAGTGTGAATCCATACAAGAGAGTCAAGTATCAGTGAGATCCTGCCTTGGATCAGCAGAGTGTACATTAGCATAGGGTCTTTGGTGCCAACTTCATGCAAAAGCGTTATTCCCAGAAATGTTTATAGTCCTGTAACAGGGAGAACTCTTTGATAGCTTCATGCTTTATGTATAATGAAATATCCCAGATGGTGTGGTACATTGTAGGAGAAACAAAAAGTAGTGTCACCCATGAAAATGAGCAGAGAAAAGTCCACAAACTGCACTTTTCAGGATGCTCTGCAGCTTTGTTGTTCATTCAGTGCAATGTTCTGCCTTAGCAAAATGACTCACAAAGCCCTGGATGACCATGAAGACTGCATTCAGCGTTTGATTTCAGCTAAAAGTAGAAGAAAAAGGTACAGGGTGCAGAAGAGGCTATGGTGGGTACAATTGGCTGGAGCATCCCACTCAAATAGCAAGGTTGGCATTCAAGATTAAAGTTGGATGCAGCATTTCATCTGAGAAAACGTTGACACTATCTAATGAGGGCATTCAATGGAAGCCAAATGTATTATAAGTAAAAATTAATGTGCTTTTGTGTGAATGTGATAAATGGGAACAGCTCCATGGATACCTGGATATTGTTCAACAGACTTAAATGATAGTAATTGATGTATCAAGAAAACTCCCAAAAAAGATAGAAATGCCAGGCAGCTGCACAGGAAAAAAAAGGAACTTTTATAGGGAATCTTTTCTTTATAATAGTTTTAAGAATAACAGGTTATTGTCCCCAACACAGATGTCTTTTTTATGTCTCAGTAACAAAGGCAAACAAATGCAGTATATGTGGTGAAGCCATGAAAATAAGGTTACAGCTCATTCAGTCATTCACTGGAGGTTGAAGTGCATGTGCGAGCCCTCAGACACCATGAATAAGTAGCCCAATATCACCCAGTGTTCTAATTTAATTACTGCACTCATAACTTATTTGCACACTTCATTACAGAGTAAAAGTTAGTCATGCTGGAGGTTTAGAAAGTTCCACCTTGTCAATGGCACAAACAGCAGAGCAGTGATCACTGGGGAAGGGGTGCCGTTAAACAATGGGACAATTTTAAAATAATTTGCAGCATCCCCGCTTCAGCACTTCATCTGTTAAACACCACAGACTGCAGTGCAACTCAGTGCCTGTAGCACCAGACAAATAATTTAATTTTAAAGAATTATAACAGTGTGTGCATCTCAATGTGTAAATTCAGGATTGCCGAAGAATTGTAGGGTGTTCAGTTTGTGTTCTGAAGTGTCAGATAAATTATCATTTCCTTTTAAATATAACTGCTTGAATTCTAATAAATATTTAATTGGGAAGTGCTTTGTTTCTGCAATTACCAAGCACCCAAACCTACAGGCAACTTTAGCCTTGCAGCTGTTAAAAACATAAAGGCTGAAGTGAGAAAAGGCTATTCCACTAAACAAGTCCAATTGATAGATAGGTACATGCTATTTGGATTTAACAATACCTCTTTACTATATGGGGGAACAGTTCAGTTTGTCTCAGTTGTTAGTCTTTCCGTTTCTTGGTCAGAAAATCAGAGGTGCAAGCCCTGTCCCAGGATCTAAACTTGTAGTCATATCCTAGGCTAACACTCCAGTGCAATAGTGAGAATGTATTACATTGATAGAGGTGGGACACTGAGATGAAATCTTGCATGGTTCAGATGTACATCATACATCCCACTGCAGTATTTTGAAAAGCAAATACTCGTTTTTAATTTTTATATCACCTATCACATCCAAACATCTCAATGAGCTTCGAAGGTAGTAACTCTCAAGTGCAGTGACTGTTTCTGAAGGAAAACCCAGAGTTTTTCCGATGCTCCTTTGGTTATTCATTTAATTTCTGTTCGTGGGACAATGCTGGCACATATTATTTTTCTAAATAACAAGACACTACATATCAAAGTGACTCATTAGGTATGGAACTTTGATGCGATAAGCAGCCATATTACAAGAAAGTATTATCATTACTTCAATAAGTTTTGCCTGGATCCCACAGTTGTTGAAAATCCATCCGTACATATCCACTATTCAAATTGGACCTCCATCCCTCCAGATAATTTTCTCCCTCCCAGCAAAACAGGAATCATTCTTCAACTATCGCGATACGGTTCTCCAGCAGATTTTTTTTAAAAAAGGAGTTAATCGAAAGAGCATTGACTGCTTTTGTTGGCAGTAGTTTTCAGGAAGAGATTATAGCAATTTTGTGCTGTGAAGCTTTCTTACCAGGATTCTATCGCTGTCAATGATGGTATTAAGCCGATGTGCAATCGTGAGTACTGTACACTGCTCAAACCTCTCTCGAATTGTCTTCTGAATTAGCTCATCCGTTCTGAGGAAGTGAGAACAAATTAATGTGCAAAGCAATTAACTCCTTACTGGGAGTGATGATTATTGATTGAAAGAGTCTATAAACCGCACTTTTAAGACTGACGGTTTTTATACACCATTAATGCATAAGGCAAGCTATTTTCATTCAATAGTGTAATATGAGTGAAATGTATGGGTTGCAAAATTAGATTTTGCTTGTATCTAGTAATATTACATTTATGTTTGATCAAAAACTAACAAGGTTGGTGCCATTTGTATCTTTTTAAAGAACTAATAAGAAATGTAAAAGGAAAGCAGAAAAATGTCAGGAATTTATATCAAATTGATACTGCAGTGTCAATTTAAGATTGTACAGAATTTTGGAAAATTCTTGTCAATTCAGTCTTCATTGGAAGCTGATTTTCTGAAATTCTCAAGATGTTCTTACATATGTGGGCCTCGGGACTCATTAAGAAGGACTTGAACAAGTTTGGTAACTATCCCTGCACTGACATATGTGAACTTTACTTTGGGAAAACTATATGCAAGTTAAATACTAAAATCATGGAATTCAGATGACTAATCCTTAATACTTGAAAATGTAACAATCTTGTAACTCATCTGCAAGTACTTATCACTCTACATAACACATTTCGCAGGCCAAAACCACAAAGCAGGACTAAACAAGCATTGGGAGATGATGTCATTGACAAGCTATGCAGTTTTTGGTTGATTAAACTTCAGCAATAACCAACTAATACATATTTTGGGGTTCCCAAGCTTGCATCTCATCAATCTGCAACTCTACTCTCTGGAATTAGATAAGAGGGGAGCATCCCTCCAAGGAGAGAATGCACATTCCATTCCAGATAGAGATATTTCTATGTGTAGGTGGCATACATGGAACTTAGTTTGTTTTGGAGACTGAGCAAATGTCATTGTGTAAATTGTTTGAGTTGACCAACTCTCTGACCTACTGCAAAAATGGAAACGTCCTATTGACTGAAATAGATGGGTTAAAAGACACTAACTCCTGAAAAGCTTAAATAGTAGACTTGCTAAGATACAGCAATTATTCTGCTTGCTCTGTAGTGCCTTGTGAACAATAATTATATAAAGTAAAGAAAGAAAGCTGGTTTAGAAATATCACTATTGATAAATGTGTTTATAGAGCCATTGTAACCCATGCATTATCATCACCACTTATTGCAGATCCATCATATTTGAAGTACAAAAATACTACCTAGGGTCCACATTTGCTGTTGCTTCATCAATGATAAGTATTTTGCTTTTTCTAAGGATCGCTCTGGCGAGGCACACTAATTGCCTCTGTCCAACACTGAAATTGGAGCCAGACTCAGCCAGTTGCATCTCCATCTTATGTGGCAATTCTTCCACCACCTCCTTTAGCTGTACCTGTAGAGTCAATCACAGGACAATGCAACAGCAGTTTTTTAATGCTTCAGACTCATTTGAAGAGGATCAAGCAATATCCACAGCTCAGCATAATTCCACTTTACTGTAGCCTCTGCAAAACTCTAAGTAATTATGAAGTAATGCTACTTTTCTTCATATATGCTCATAAAGGCAAATGTTGCAACTCATTTTATAACCCATTGGTAATTTCTAAAAAAATGTTTTAATGTCTAAACATCACATCACCTCATCACATTCACCTACAAAATACACATTTTAACAGGGTTAAATGAAGCCCTCAAAGATATCCTCCTGACATGAAAGGCCCTGTATCAATTGTATGGATTATTACGATTATCAAATATTGCCTGCCGCTCCAACAATTTGCTTTTAAAAAGAAATTTGACAACCCTCTGAAAAGGAAAATAAATTAGTATGGGGAGATGACAGGGGTGTGGGACTAACACAAAACTTACAGAGTTAGCACATGCCAAATTCTGAGCTGAACTAATTGCATGATTTAACCCTTTAACCCCCTTCCTGAGAAAATCAGTCTTCACTGCATTTTGCTCACAGAATACAGCCAATGCATTTTACAGTATATCCTGTGAAGGGCTTTGAGACGTGTGAACAACATGATACGGGCGCTATATCATATGCAAAGATTATTATTAATATTACATTTCCAACGTTAAAGTGTCACTGAATGGCACTAACATAATTGCTTTAGTAATAATCAAGACTAAATATGGGAGTAGTTTTGTACTATGTACTCAGGTTCATGGCAAGTGCCAAACCAAAGCAGTGCAGTATTTCACACAATGTTCGTATGAGGTCCAAAGACTGAAGCAGTAGTTTTATGACAGTACATTTTTGTGTTCCAATGCATTGCAATACCAAATAATCAACATTAAGGGAGAAAGAAAATATCCATCCAGACAGGTGGTTAGCAGCTGTAAGGGATTTACAGGAACTGCACCGTTTCACTTCAGTACTTATACTACTTTAGGACTTGTTACTTGCCTTGGCACTGAAACTAGGGCCAATCAAGACTGCAATTGTTTTTGTACATCGCTAAATCCAAACAAAATCATGAGGTGGTAATGTTGAATTTATGCAAAACCTCGGTTCGATCACATTTGGAGTTTTGTGTTCAATTCTGGTCTCCTCACATTAACAAGGATATAACAGTGATGGAAAGAATACAGTGTAAATTTACAAGGATGATACCAGGGTTGCCAGTTACTCGTATCGGAATAGACTAGATTGATTGGGCCTTATTTTGCTAGAGAAGAGACTTTTAGGTGGGTGAGGAAGCTAATAGAAGTGTTTAAAAATTACAAAAGGATTTGATAAGGTTAACATAAATAGGCTGTTTCCACTGGTTAGGGAGTCTGTAACCATGGGACACAAATGTAATATAGTTGCCAGCAGATCTAAAAGAGAATTTAGGAGCAACTACTTCACTCAAGAGGGTATTGAGATTGTGGAACTCACTGCCTGAAGCTGTGGTTGAATCAGATCGCGTCAATGCATTCCAGAGGAAGCTAGACCTTCACATGAGCAAAATGGAATAGAAGGGTTATTAGAGGGAGTAAGGAAAGTTTGGAGACTTGTGTAGAGTATAAACCACCAACATGGTCTGGTTGGGCAGAATGGCCTGTTTCCATGCTGTACATTATTTGTAAATCTTTGCATAACCGTGTGCAGCTTTAACAAAATGTGTGACTCACAAAACAGACTAGACTGAACACATCTGAGGATTCATGATTCAACATATTTCAAGATACATGAGGCACCATAAATGTATGAAATAGTGAAATCTGATAATATGTTCTCTTGGTTTTCTTTTTAAGGGTCTCAACAGCCAGTCATTCAGATATGGATAGAAATATATTTGCCTCAGACTTCTACTTCTCTCAGTTATAGATATATTATCATTGATAAGGTCAGTAATGAAGAATTCATCTTGTTTTCCCCCATGTATTTGTGTAGGACCATAGTCCTACAAACTTACACATTTCTGAGTGGTCACATTATGATATTGTACAAATTTTCCACTGAACGAAGAAATAAATGTATGCTACTGTTAATTCTAAGTGTATAGATTAGATATTTTGGAATACATTTTATGTAAAAAGTAGACATCAAAGTCCAGTGCACCAATCAAATCAACTTGATTTAAAAAGTCTTACTTAATTTATCATTAAAACCTGGTATGAACAGAATTGAGTCTAATCTTAGCCTCCAATTATTTTCTTAATTGCTAAAAACTATAACGTTGCCTAAGTGGTAGTTATTTAAATGTTTTAAAAACAAATGTAACCAATTAGTATTTTATATTATATCATCTATTTAAGAGTCTGAGGGCAAAGAGAAACAAGGCTAGAAAGAGTTTTAAACCACCTTGATACTTTTAAAAGAATTCAGTGTTATTTGGTGACGCATTGTGTTGAAGGAATATTTTGGGAAGTTAACTAGACTAATGGGATTTATTCTTACCTATAACCACTTCTGTGTTACAAATCAACCTTTTGCTACAGCATATTATCATCCTCTTATTTATGTGTTTATAGCATAAAGTTACCAACAGAGAATACTCTAGAGTGTCAAACTCCTTGAAACTAAGGGAGGGAATGGTCAATGGTAAATGTATTGACTGTGCTGGTATGCCCTTAAGACAAGGATTTTTTTGATCGTTTTAGTCACACCATAAGGTTTGTAAATTTATCAGAGAATAGAACGTCTCTCTTGGCAGGTCACTACATTTACTGCTAACTAGAGAACAACAACAACTTGGATTTATATAGCGCCCTCCACGCCGGACAGCGTCTCAGAGCGCTTTATAGTTTAAGATCCCGGGACCGAGCCAGGGGGAGGAGTGAGAAGGTGACCAAAGGCGCGGTCGAAAAGAAAGGAGAATCACTTCCTATGAACATGTTGAATCCCTCTCTGTGGGTTACAAAAGATAAGAATGATCAAAATCCTTTCCAAAGTGCTAGTCTTTCAGGTTTGTTCCCACCTCTTCCAATGCACGCCACAGTGCTTCATCATCATGTTCATTAAATGGGTCCAGGTTCTTCCTCATCGAACCAGTAAACAGAACAGGATCCTAACAAGAAAACAAAACAAAATGTTTTTTTAATTTATCAAACTACAGTAATAATGATAATAATCCTTACATTTGATACAGCGCCTTTCACGTCAGGGGATATCTCAAACGCTTAGTAATATATACTGTAAAGTGTTGAGACTCTGTGTTTTGTGGGTGAATGTGATAGTCAATTTGCACACACCAATGTCCCAGACACAGCCATGAAACAAATTACCATGCTTTTATTTAGGGGATTGCTAGCCAGGACAATGAAAAAGAAACTACATTCTCTTTTCAAATAGTGCCATGGGATCAGTAAAGGCATACAGGGTTAATACACTTTTAAACCGATGCTTCCCGGGACTCATTTGAATCAGGCTGGGGAGAGTATGGATCTTCTGTTTGTTTGCAAGATAGATGCCTAAAAATAATTCTAAAAATAAAATATGCCATTCTAAGAGCAAAAATCTAAATCCCTTGCATGTTAAAATATGGCAGTTCCACAAGGGCTGAATGAGAAATCATTTTCCATGGGTTGGTGAGGTGTTTAGGCCGAAACCTGTCATTGAGAGAGAATCCACCAAAATGTCTCACTGGTGATAATGACAGCTCACTGCATAAAATTTACTCCCAATATATTCAAATCTAGATCCAAATGTTTTGAAGGAGAAAGATTTAAAAATTAAAATCTACTTTTGAAGATTTAACATAGGGACACAATTCGACAGAATGACAGAAGACCAAGGATCATCCAGTTCACCTTCCACTATCCTGCCAGTCACATGACATGTTGTGTCCCAAACCGTATATTGTATCCCGAGATATTATTTTCCAGCAGAAATCTATCTAATTTGTGCTTGAAAGAATCGATACTTTCTGCTTTCACCGTCTCCCTAGGAAGCCTGTTCCACACGTTTTCTACTCGCTCACTGAAATAGTGTTTCCGCAGATTTGTTCTGAACTGATCCCACTTCAATAGCAGACCATGTCCTCTGGTTCCATTGTTCAATACATTATAAAACAATTAATCATGGTCTGCATTATATATTCCCTTTAGAATCTTAGAAGACCATAATCATATCACCTGTCTCTTCTCCAGTGTGAACATGCCCAGTTTACTTAATCGCTCCTCATAGTCCAGTCCCTCCATCCCTGAATTATTTTGGTTGCCATCCTCTGAATCACTGCAATATCATTTTTTGCATTGCAGTGACCAGAACTGCACACAGTATCCCAAAAGCAATCGCACCAGTGATTTATAAAGTGGCAGGAGTACCCCACTATTTCGGCTCAATATTGCCCTTTTAATACAACCCAGCATATGGTTTTCCTTACTCACTGCTAACGAGCACTGTTGCAATAGCTTAAATTTATTGGTGCACACTTATGAAATACTTGTAAAAATGCATGCAGGGTAATAGTTATAATTAAAACTTACATAAGTATTTTGAATCTGTGCTGATTAGAAAAGTCAAATGCAATTTTTACTTGGTAAATGAAATATGATGGTAACGTGATGATTGAATTGCACAAATGTTGTTCTAACATGCCAGGGTGCATAAATCTATTAAACAGCTGCTGAATAATAAAGTTTGCTCAATCAGAGTTGACTTTGCTGAAATGTTCAACATTAGGGACAATAGAATGTAAACGCCTACATAAAAACATGACCAGCTAGGATATTGTGCTTTAATTGCACCCTCACCTTTGTATACTTAAGAAAAAATGAGTCAATATTCATGCGATAACAAGTTATAAAAGTGGTCTTATTAATTTCCACTGTAGAATCTGTGGGTACATTGCTTATTGTAAAGTAATCATTTTATATTGTACTCCATTATAACAAAAAACATTCATTAACTATCTTATCAAAAGCAGCTTCAGTATACGTGGCACTAACTTTGCATCAATGCATATTTTACAGAATAGTAATGCTTGATACACATGTTGTGTAATTTGGATTACGTGAGGCCAATTCAAGATAAAATTATTTTAGTGTCTCTTAAGACAGAGAGATATGTTATATTTAGAAAGAATACTGCAATAATCATGATACCTTTTGTTAACTATTCATTACTGATACAATAAAACTGGTCAACTAATCCATATCGCTGCTACCCTTTCTGTCCAATTTTAAGAACCCTGGCTCAATTTCTGCAGATAAGCAAGACTTTAGTATCCTGAGAAAAAAACATGTGTAAACAATTTTTTTCTTCTTCTCTGGTTAAGATCACAGGTCATGGTGCCAACAATGCTGAAAAGAATAAGAGCAACAAGACAGGCCATTAAGTGGTCAGGTGATGCCAAGGGTGGATTTTAAAATCCCCATAGCTGAAGGTCTGGTATATTTGGTGCAAATCCAAGAATAGGAATTCCTGAGAAATAGCTCGTTTCTTAAATAAGAATGTAAGAATTTATTGGGACTTTCATGTCAAGAAAAGCTTTACAGTAATTATTTGCGTTTAACATCTTATACAAAGGCAGCAGCCGTGACAATGCAGCACTCACTGCTCCAGGACTGCACTGAATCTACTATCTTAAACTGTTATACTAATTTACTGACGTGGGGCTTGAACCCATAATTTTCTGACCCCGAAACAAGATTTCTACCACCCGAGTCAAACTTATACACTAAATATACTTAGGATGGAACAGGAAAAAAGGTGTACTGTGTAGTCACAGTCTTATTCAGAAGATTCCTACACTTCAAAGGTCCAAAGATAGACACAAAGGTCAAAGTTGAAATGTGGATCACATGAAGATAAACAAGTCTACATTGAGTTTTATTTTGTTTTATACACATTTGGGGGGGTTGGACAGCCTGTTAAAATCTTTTAAAAAAAATCTTATTTCACTTGCTATATTTTGCAGCTATAGAAGCTTGTCAGAATGCCAAAAAGTCAACTGTGTACAGCTTCAGTTTGCTCACTGGAAATATCTCATGTTTATATGCCTATCTCTAGAACAGTAAACTTTAAAGTTTGTGACCCCATGTCAGGAGTACAGCAATTGAGTATTGGAAATATGTTCATTCAAAGTAATAAAATTCAATCGCATCTATTTACACAACAAATACAATTGATTAACTAAAGCGATCTTCTTTCTGCTCATTGTGGACCTGATTGTGAAGTTATAAAACAATTAAATGGAGCTATGCATTTTTTGTGAAAAGTACATGGCCTGAAGCAAGGTAACAGTGGTTCTTTTATGGGCAAACGACTTGCCCATAAACATATATTTATATCACGCCCTTCAAGCATGGTAGCACCATGGAGCCCTGCGCCATGCTTGGATACTGAAAGAGAGTGGGGAAACAATGTATTAAAAAAAATATTTTGATATTTAGTAGTGGTAGATAATTTTGGATGTTGGGCAACATTGCATTCATGGTTTACTGTGTTAATAACATGGTTTATTTTTCAAATATTTATTCAAAAGACAATATAACTTTTTTAGTGTATTCGTATGTTTCATTTGTCAAGGTGCAGTGTCAGTGGAAGTGTCAATCATTTGGAACAATAGCATGAGCCTGATTTCAAGTTTATACTGTACAGTTTGGACCAATGAAGTTGAAAATGTGTTCTAGAGGAACGATGATGGTGCTAGTGACACCTCATTGCCAGAAGAAAGTGCCTCGTAGCCTGACTGTCCAATCCATTCAAAACCTAACGACGACACCAAATGCTAAATGCAAAATTGTTTTCTTTCTGTCCCTCCTTCAGTTCAAATATTTAAACAATTTGAATAAAACCATGAGTATTAGCATTAGGAATTTTATTTGTACAGTGAATGGCAGGACCTTTGTTGTATTGATAATAATCTTTTCTCACTTCATTACCAGACAATACCATCTACTCCGGAATACAAATGGCAGGTGTGACTGTTAAATGCATATTATTTGTATAAAACTAAAAAGTTCCTGGATACGTTATAAACACATGTAAAGTTGTAAATTAAAAGCAAAATGTTTACATTCTGTAACTTCTGACTTAAAAATCAAACTCAGAACCCCCTGCCCAAAAAATCATATTTACCCAAATGGATAGGAATGAGGTAACATTTGAACCATATAAAATATGCCGGAGTCAGAAGGTTGTGGGTTTAAACTCCATGTTGGGGCTTTGAGGTCCAAAGCACTGCAAAGCAATGCTGGGGGCATACTGTTTTGTTGAAGGTGCTATCAATCAGATGAGACGTTAAAACTGCGGTCCCATCTGTTTTCCTGGTGTCCTGGTCAATATATCCCAAAGACAAAATTGGTCATTCACTTCATGGCTACTTGTAGGACATTGCTGGGCAAAAACATTTGCCGTGTTTCAACCTACAAAATACACTACACTTCACAATGAATATTCTGTGAATCTCTTTGAGACGTTCCGATGATGTGATAAGGCATTATATCAAATGAAAGAATGATTATGTCAATAATAATCAGAATTACAAAAAGCACCAACTGATCAGCAAATGCATCTGTACATATCATTATGTAGAAATGAAGGACATGCTGAAATTTAACTTTATTTATTATTAAACTAAAATAGATATAAGAAAGAAAGAGTAGGCCATTTGGCCCCTCGAGCCTGCCACACCATTTAATAAGATCATGGCTGATCTTCTAACCTAATTCCATTTACCCGCCCTATTCCCATATCCCTTAATCCCTTTAGTTTTTAAAAGTCTATTGATCTCAGTCTTGAATATGTTCAATGGCTGAGCATCCACAGCCTTCTGGTGTAGAGAATTCCATAGATTCACTACCCTCCGAGTGAAGAAATGTTTTCTCAACTCAGTTGTAAAGGGCTGACCTTTAATCCTGAGACTATGAGCTCTAGTTTTAGATTCTCCAACCAGGGGAAACAGTCTCATATTATCTCCCCTGTCAAGACGCTTAAGAATTTTATAGGTTTCTATAAGATCACCTCTAGTTCTTCTATATTCTAAAGAATATAGGCCTAGTCTACTCAACCTCTCCTCACAGGTCAACCCCTCATCCCAGGAACTAACCTAGCTGCACTCCC